GCGATAACACCTTTCCTCCCACCTGCCGCTGAAGATAACACCTTTCCTCCCACTGCCGCTGATGATAACACCTTTCCTCCCACCTGCCGCTGATGATAACACCTTTCCTCCCACCTGCCGCTGAAGATAACACCTTTCCTCCCACCTGCCGCTGATGATAACACCTTTCCTCCCACCTGCCGCTGATGATAACACCTTTCCTCCCACCTGCCGCTCGTAATAGAGGAATAACTTGAAATAATATAGAGCTCACCTTCAGGGGACAGAGGGGCGTTGGTCTAATAACACTTCCCTCTTCCACTCTATTTTTTAAGTCCTGGAGGTAGATAGCAGGTTTATGCCATCAGCCAATCAATACCTTCACCTAAGAGATATCTAAATATTCTATCGTTTCTCTCTGACACCAGGGGAGAGAACAGAACATTTTAAGGACGATGTACTATTTTAGGATGAGTTCACAACACCTGCCTCCTCCTACACCTACAACCAGCTGTGTGTACCGACTCTGAGATAATACCTTTACCGAAGCTTGTCCCTCATGTGATAAAGAAATATAACACGATATTTTAAGGTGGTTATCTCAACTGGATATCGTCCTTGAACCCCCTCGTAATAAATAACAAAATGATATCAATAATCAATACCGCAATCTCAGTTATCTGGTATCTATTCCATATATCCTTCGTGCCAAGAAAGATTACGTGATACCTTAAGGTTATCTTAGGAGATCGTCCAATAATACGTTTGCCCTTACCTGTCATCAAGACCTGCCTGCTGTTAGAGCTGAAGCAGGGAATCAATGCCAAGTCGAAGTGAGAGTGCCGTTGGTGGTGGTAGGGGGAGGAAGGCCTCAGGCGATAGATGGGGGGGTACTATAGTTATACGGTGGTGAGGGGTGTGTGTGTGTGTGTGTGTGTGTGTGTGTGTGTGTGTGTGTGTGTGTGTGTGTGTGTGAGTGCGTCTGTGTGTGTAGGGAAATGTTAATGAGAACGCAGTGTACCATTTATAGCGGTGTATTGTACAGTAGTAAAGCCCCTCAGTTTATTTCACTTTAAAACGTAACATCCTCACCCTCCCTAAGGTAGCGTTAAGGTGTTTAATATTCAGGTGTAATAAGCTGGGGTGCTAATCTTCAGGTGATCCGTCTTGATTTATGGTATTAGTGTATTCAGGAACCGTAGGGACAGCAGGTGTGGGTGTACTGTGAGGTGTGTGGTGGGTGTGGGTGTGCTGTGTGTGGTGGGTGTGGGTGTACTGTGAGGTGTGTGGTGGGTGTGGGGTAGGTGTGTGGTGGGTGTGGGAGGTGGTGGGTGTGGGTGTACTGTGAGGTGTGTGTGGTGTGTGGTGTTCTGTGAGGTGTGTGGTGGGTGTGGGTGTGCTGTGGGGTGTGTGGTGTGGGTGTACTGTGAGGTGTGTGGTGGTGTGGGTGTACTGTGGGGTGTGTGGTGGGTGTGGTGTACTGTGGGGTGTGTGGTGGGTGTGTGGGTGTACTGTGTGGGTGTGTGGTGGGTGTTGGTGTGTGTGGGTGTGTGGTGGGTGTGGGTGTACTGTGAGGTGTGTGGTGGGTTGTGGTGTACTGTGTGTGTGGTGGGTGTGGGTGTACTGTGGGGTGTGTGGTGGGTGTGGGTGTTCTGTGAGGTGTGTGGTGGGTGTGGGTGTGTGTGGGGTGTGTGGTGGGTTGTGGGTGTACTGTGAGGTGTGTGGTGGGTGTGGGTGTACTGAGGTGTGTGGTGGGTGTTGGTGTACTGTGAGGTGTGTGGTGGGTTGTGGGTGTGTGGTGTGTGGGTGGGTGTGGGTGTGCTGTGAGGGTGTGTGGGTGGGTGTGGGTGTACTGTGGGGTGTGTGGTGGGTGTGGGTGTGCTGTGAGGGTGTGTGGTGGGTGTGGGTGTACTGTGAGGTGTGTGTGGTGGGTGTGGTGTGTGGTGTGAGGGTGTGTGGTGGGTGTGGGTGTACTGTGAGGTGTGTGATGGGTTGTGGGTGTACTCTGGAGGTGTAACAGCAGGTGTAGATAAAGCTAAAATTATACACCCATAAACAACATTCGTATAAAATGTAACAAAGACATATTCGTTTATGACGTAATAAAATGTAACATTATTTAGGTAGGTAATTATGTGTACAAACAGTCACGTTCTTACTACACCTGTCACACCTGTAATAAAGTTTACCGGAACAGAAGCAATACTGTGACTTGCTTAATTATTAGTACAACACACACACACACACACACACACACACACTTGTTCTCCCGGACTCACGATAACGACCCGGTCGTCATTTCCGGGAAAACAAACAAAATGCTTTCATTAATTTTGTGCCAAAATAATAATGTGTAAAAAAATAAAAGAAGGATTTATGTGAGTACTAAAATTAAACGTTAAATATATTCTAAAGTAATGTGTGTGTGTGTGTGTGTGTGTGTGTGTGTGTGTGTGTGTGTGTGTGTTTGTGTGTGTGTGTGTGTGTGCACAATAGACATTACCATCTACATACACTACCATACACCCGCTTTAACCCTCTAAAATAACACCTTTAACCATAATAAAAATAACACAATATATGTATCTACAAATCCTCTTATTTATATGAGATTAATTACCATAATTGCCGTGATCAAATTCACCTGTAAACTAACGACCCTATTTCTGGTTCACTGCCCTATTAACCTCCACTAATATATGGGTAAACTTTGGGAGTAAATCTACCCCGTTATATGTGATACAAGAGGCGCCAGGTGTTACTGTTTGTTCACCCAAGTTTGTGTTTGTGTTGGCAGGTTATGGATGCCTTAACACATGAACCTGTTGTTGTAGGGTGTGAGGTGGGGGTGAGGGTGGGGGGTGAGGGCAGGGGATGAAAGATGGGGGTGGGGTGGGATGGTGGATGAGGGTAGGGGGTGAAGGTAGGGGATGGTGGATGGGGGTGGGGGGGGGATATGGGGAAGGTGGGGATGGATGGGGTGGTGGGTGGGGATGGTGGATGAGGGGTGGGGGGTGAAGGTGGGGATGGTGGATGGGGGGATGGTGGATGGGGGTGGGGGTGAAGGTAGGGATGGTGGATGGGGTGGGGGTGGGGATGGTGGATGGGGGGTGGGGGGGTGATGGGGTAGGGGATGGTGGATGGGGTGGTGGGTAGACGGTAGGGCTTAGGGGTGGAGGGGGTAGCGGGGGTGAGGGGTAGGGGGTATATAAGTTGATGTAAGGGATAATAGATGATGTGTGATTTGATAGAAGAGAGAGAAAGAGAGAGAGAGAGAGAGCCGACCTTTAATTCAATTGAATATTTTAACACAACCTTAGAGAGAAAAAGAGATGTAGGGAGACAGAAAGAGAGAGAGTGAGGGGCAAGAGGAGGAGATAGAGAGAGTGAGAGAGAAAGTGAGTGAGAGAGAGTGAGTAAGTGCCTCCAACGCTCCCCTTCAAAGGAGTTTTACTTCGCTTATTTTTGTTGAACGTCGAGGATTTTGTGGTAAGAGTCGAGTGGTGGTAGTGGTGGTAGTGGTATTGGTGGTGGTATTTGTGGTGGTAACGATGGTGTTAGTGGTGGTAGTGGTGGTAGTGGTGGTAGTGGTATTGGTGGTGGTATTTGTGGTGGTAACGATGGTGTTAGTGGTGGTAGTGGTGGTAGTAGTAATGGTAATGGTGGTAGTGGCAGTAGTCGTGTTATTAACGATGGTGGTGGCGGTGGTGGCGGTGGTGGTGGTGGTGGTGGTGGCGTGGCGGTGGCGGTGGGGGTGGTGGTGGTGGCGGTGGTGGTGGTGGTGGTGGCGTTCCCGGATCTTGTTTTCCATCTTTCTTTTTTTCCTTCATTTTGATTATCTGTTTTATCCTTCCTGTCTCAAACTCTCCCTTCCTGTTCATTTTCCCGTCAGTTCTGTCTCCTGTACCTAACTCTTATATCCCCTTTTCTACTTTCTAGCTCTACTCCTTCCCCTCTTCTCATCTTTCACCTCTTTCTCTCTCTTTCTTTTATATCCTCTCCATTCTATCCCCTCTTAACCTTTCTCCCCCATTTTCTTCTTCCTTTATATTTCCCTTTCAAGTACCCTCCTCCTCCTCCTCCTCCTCCTCCTCCTCCTTCTCCTCCTCCTCCTCCTCCTCCTCATCCTCCCCCTTCTCCTCCTCCCCTTCCTCCTTCCTTCCCTTCACCCTCTCCTTCATCCCAGGCAACACACACCACCTGACACTCAATAGATTATAATTCACACCTGTCCTCATCTTCCAGGACGGATATTATACCTGTGTTCCATTACAGTGTTAAGTAGAGCTTGTGTTTATAAGTGGGAGGTAAGTAAGCGTCAACTCATATGTCATTCATTGTAAAGTAGAAGAAGAAGTTTAAGTTGGTATTATAATGTAAAGCATTATAGTGTATGGTAATATAGTATAGTATTATAGTATTATATAGTTTTAATTATCACGCCGACATATATAACAATAGCAATGTACTCAGGAGGCTAAGAAATCATACTCAAAGGGTTATTTCGTCGTACTCAAGGGGTTAAGTCATCGTGCTCAAGGGGTTAAATCATCGTACTCAAGGAAATAAAACAACTTACACAAAAACTCAATTCATTATATTCAACATTAACACCAAAAAGAATACTTTCAACCCACAGACAAACAGACAGACAGACAGACAGACACGGGATCCACAACTACAGTAACAGTTTAGAACAATATTGGCAGTTGGTCCCACTGACACACTTGTTGATAGTGAGAAATATAAATGAGGGAATGAAGACTAACGGTCACCAGGGTTATGTTGACCACACTTTACACTGATCCAGCATTTGGAAGAAGCCAACATATATATAATGTCTTTGTGGCTGGATGGGTGAGTGGGTGGTTGGGTGGCTGGTGAGGGGTCGATTATGTGTCAATAAAAACAAATAAAAATGGAAGTTAGGTTAAGTTAGGTTAGGTTAGGAATGAAAGAGAGAGACACAAGCCATTTGTCTGGTCAGAAGTCAAGTTAAAATTCGCCCACGTCTCCTGCAGGCTCTTCGTCAGCAGCCCACGAGCTGAGGGTGAGCGAGTTACTGCCCACGACGGAGCAGTACCTCACCTACGATGGTTCTCTGACCGTACCAGCGTGTTATGAGACGGTCACCTGGATACTACCAAACAAACCGCTATATATCGCCTTTAGTCAGGTAAGTGTGCGTGCGCGCGCGCGCGCGCGCGCGTGTGTGTGTGTGTGTGTGTGTGTGTGTTTGACAGGTGGCAAAGGTGAATCCTGTATATTTTTAACTTTTGTTATGCCTGCCTGTCCGCTTGTGTGTCTGTTTCTTTCAATCTTTGTCTGGACCTGTCAGTGTTTTTGTCTGACAGTGCCTGTTTTTTGCCTGTCGCTGTCTAACTATCTGTCTTCGTCTAGATACCTGTCTCTCTGCTTTTCTGTGTTTGCGTCTTGGTTGCGTTTGAATATGTCTGTCCATTTCTCTGTTTGTCTTTTACTAAACAAATAAAATACAAACAAAATCTCTCTCTCTACTAAATGTATATGACAAGTCTCTCTGGGGAATGAGTATAGCAAATCCTTCAGCGCAGTGACCCATAACAAACCAATCTGCACAGTGCATAGAATGAGAATTTCAGTGACGTATACGTCCAGTAAAGTTACTTGTTCTTCCTTCGACAGATGCGCAGTCTGAGGCGACTCAAGCAGGGATCGTCTGACTTCCGCAGAAACGCGCCCGTGGCCAACAACTTCCGACCCCTGCAGTCTGCGCATCACCGCACCGTCCGAACTAATATTGACTTCGCCGCAGACAGCGAGGTGAGAATGCGGTGCGGTGGGCGTAAGTGGGTGGTACGGGGTGTAGGTGGGTGGTACGGGGTGTAGGTGGGTGGTACGGGGTGTAGGTGTGCAGTACGGGGTGTAGGTGTACAGTACGGGGTGGAGGTGGGTGGTACGGGGTGTAGGTGTACAGTACGGGGTGGAGGTGGGTGGTACGGGGTGTAGGTGTACAGTACGGGGTGGAGGTGGGTGGTATGGGGTGTGGGTGTACAGTGCAGGGTGTGGGTGGGTGGTGTGGGTGTACAGTACGGGGTGGAGTAGTGCAGGGGTGTAGGTGCAGCACAGGGGTGTGCAGTGCAGGTGTGGGCACAGGGTGTGGTGTACAGGGTGGAGGTACGGGGTGTAGGTGTACAGTACAGGGTGGAGGTGGGTGGTACAGGGTGGTGTACAGTGGGTGCAGTGCACTGGGGGTGTGTAGGTGGACAGTACAGGGGTGTGGGTGGGGACAGTACAGGGTGTGGGTGGACAGTGGGGGTGTGGTGGACAGTGGGGTGTGAGTGGACAGTGCAGGGGTGTGGGTGTACAGTACAGGGGTGTAGGTGACAGTACAGGGGTGTGGGTGGACAGTGCAGGGGTGTGGACAGTACAGGTGTGGGTGTAGGCAGGGGTGTGGAGTGGACAGTACAGGGGTGTGGGTGTGGGGTGTGGGTGGACAGTACAGGGTGTAGGTGGACAGTACAGGGGTGTGGGTGGACAGTACAGGGGTGTGGGTGGACAGTAGGGGTGTGGGTGGACAGTGCAGGGGTGTGGGTGGACAGTGCAGGGGTGTGGGTGGACAGTACGGGGTGTGACAGGTGTGGGTGGACAGTACGGGGGTGTAGGTGGACAGTACGGGGTGTAGGTGGACAGTACGGGGTGTAGGTGGACAGTACGGGGTGTAGGTGGACAGTACGGGGTGTTGGTGGACAGTACGGGGTGTAGGTGGACAGTACGGGGTGTAGGGGGATTGACTAACTCCTTGAGTATGATGACTTGATGACTTACGGACTTATGTTATCGTACTCAAGGATTTATGAATTTGAGAACAAAATATAAATGCGAATGAGTTGGGAATATTTAAAGAGCTAATATTTACTTTTTACACTTAGTTAAAATCTTTGACTTGTGTTTATAATGAAAACTTGAGTTAATTTATTTAGAATATCTCACAAACTATAATACGTATAAACACTCATAAACATAATGTATATACTTAAGAGTCTGACCTTAACGCTATATACATCTCATGGATCTGCATATTTAGATAAAAGTCATAAATATCGTCTTTTTCTCTCCAGGGGAAAAAGTGTTCCGTGTCGGAGCCGCGATTCCATTATCAAGGTGAGTCATGTTGTCTCTCTTCTACACGACGTAAAGTAAACAAAGGTACGACTCTCACCCCACAGGTCATTATCTGGGCTGAGTTAGTAGTGTAGATGAGATATTTAATTCGTTGAATGATATTTATCGCATGTGAATATTTATAACTAAACTGTTATATAGATGTGTGTGTGTGTGTGTGTGTGTGTGTGTGTGTGTGTGTGTGTGTGTATAGTGTATTTAAGTGCCTGTATCTTTCTCGTAAGCTAACACACACATTCTCTCTCTTGCAGCTAACGATTGGCTCAACTCCTGACCAGTAGTTCGGCAAGAAAAATGTACATACACTGTCAAGAATCGTCTGGATGTTTGTTAATACTGTAAATAGCTTTCCAGCATTTGGCATATATTTTGTTAGCATGACACGTGTTAAGGTCGTCTGCCCCGTGGACGACGAGAACACATACCTCCGGCAATAACTTAATATCCAATATATGATGTTTACATTTGTGGGTCATCTAAAGGACGGACACACCACCTTATTTCACCTGATGATTACCTACACGGACGATCACTGGACCTGATCTCACCTAACCTAAACTAATGTTATGTAAACCAAATTTAACCTAATCAAACCTTACCTAACCCAACTAACTGCTAATCTAATTCAACCTAACCTCACGCTAATTGAACCTAACCTAACCTAACGCTAACGTAACGTAACTTAACCTAACCTACGCTAATCTAACCATCCCAGGTAGCGTTAGGGAGCTTAATCCTTAGGTGAAATAAGCAAGGGCGTCTACTCTTAAAGAGACCCCAGTTTTTCATATATAGACAAGCGTGAATAAAAAATCGAGCGAATTTGTTGATGTTGACAAGTCTCACGTTTAGTCTTCTGTATATTGACAGAAGACTGAGAAAGATGCCCAGGTGTAACACATGGAAGTGTAACCCACGATGACTGACAGGATAACATGAACCCTTGAGTAAGATGATCTAATACCTTGAGTACAATAACATAAATACATGAGTACTATAACATAAATCCTTGTGTACGATGACAAGTTTTTAATATTGAAATTGCGTACGATGATATAGTACCTTGAGTACGATGACAAGTTTTTGAATAGGCTAACATGAGCTTGAGTACGATGTTATAATATCTTGACTACGATAACATTGAGGGGTTAATTCATCATACTCAAGGGGTTAAAAAAAATCTCCGTTTCAACATCCACTCAATCAGTTACATTAGAAGACGCCATTGTGTTAAATTTCTACAGCAGGTCTTTTAACGTGGCATAGATCTTAAATCACAAATACCCTATAAGAAAAAAATATATTCTGTGTGCATTAAGTCACATAAGATTCATTATTGATGTTAAGAGTGACCGAGAAAAAATCAGTGAGTGATGTTATTGAAAGTGACTATAAGATGCTGTTGTTGTTTTTGTTGTTGTTGTTGTTGTTTATGTTCTGTTGCAGTGTTATTATTTTGTTATTGTTTGTTAGACATTTGTTTGTAATTGTCTTTATTATTGTTTTGTTTTCTTATAGTTCTGGGGTAATGAAATTTATAATATGGAGTTATAAAAGTATGTAGTGATGTTTGGATACACACACACACACACACACACACACACACACACACACACACATACACACACATACACACACACACACACACACACACACACACACAAACTAAATTCTAAAACACGTAACTTAATAAAACTTGTGACATCAAATTTCATCTACAAATGAAGATAAAATACCAGAAATTCGTTGTTGTTGTTATTGTAGTGAAGTAAATCAGGTTTATTAATACATGTACTGAAGGTATTAAACCATATGTGTAGAGAGTGAGTATTAGCTTAGTCTCCCCTAAGTCTTCCCTTCCGTTTTCATTTAACTTCTCTTCCCCTTTTCACTCCCTCTCTCTCATCTTCTTCCTCCTCCTCTGGCTTATGCTATGCCCTCCACTTTATCCTCTCTTATCTCTCCACCTCCTACTCCTCCACTCCTTCACTCAATCTTTCTCTATCTCTCCCCTGTATTTTCCTCCTCCTCCTCCTCCTCCTCCTCCTCCTTCTCCTCCTCCTCCTTCTGCTCCTCCTCATCCTCTTCCCCCTCCTTCTACTTCCTCTCAACGCCTTTCATCTCCCCTTCTTCTCCCCTACCATCTTTATTTCACCTCGTCCTTCCTCCTCTTCCCTCTTCCTACTGCTGTTCCTCCTCTTCCTCTTCATTCTCTTCCCTCTTCCTCTCCGTCTTGTCTTTCATCTCCCTTTCTTTTTCCGTATCTCCCGTCTACACCTCTTCTCTCCCTCCTCTTCCTCCCTTCCTTTCATCTTCCTTCCTCTCCTCTCTCCCTTCCTCTTTCCTCGTCCGCCATACCTCTCTCCTCCTCCTCCTCCTCCTCCTCCTCCTGCTCCTCACCCCCCCCCATTATCTCCAGGTAACACACAACACCAGACTTACAAACTGATTATAACTCACACTTGTCTCCTCTTGCTCTTAGGCGGATATTGAACTTGAGTTAAGGTGTGCTACTATACACACACACACACACACACACACACACACACACACACACACACACTGTATTTAAATATGAGTTGTTTGGTGTATTTCTTTACGTAATGTACAACAAACTTACAAATCATAAAATTAAGATAGTTTTTATTTATATGTTAATTTTTGTGTTTTGTAATTGTCTTTTTTCACCTTAATTCATTTCTCCTTTTTGCTGTTGTGTGTGTGTGTATGTGTGTGTATGGCTATTCATGAATACAATTTCCTTTACACTCCTTTTCCAGAGACTGGTTTCAGTGTTTTGGTCTCCTAGGCGTGTAAATGGACTTTAACCTGATAATAAAACACACACACACACACACACACACACACACACGTCTCACCAGTTTTAGGTTTAAGACTGATGCTAAATTCACGTAGCTTAATACTTATTGTTTATTATGAATTCGTCTAATTTGTGTGAGATTGATTTTAAAGTTTGTTAATACTTTTCTCTGAATGGGAATGTGTGTAAATATGCTGTCTTCTGCTTGATATAGTAAGAGCAGTGACTTGAGTGAATTTGGATTATAAGTTTATTGGAACAAAATAAAAAGAAGAAATCATTTACGTGGTTGAGTAAATTGTGTGTTATTATTATCAGTCTTTAACCTAACCTAACCCAACCCAACATCCTCAGTATCTCACAACTATTTAATGTAAGGTAAAACTATTTTTCTTTAATTTTCGGAGAATCTGTAAATAGATCAGTGTTTTTGTTCGGCAAACACAACACTTCAAACACGTCAGAAGGTGATGTTGCCAGTGTGTGTGTGTGTGTGTGTGTGTGTGTGTGTGTGTGTGTGTGTGTGTGTGTGTGTGTGTGTGTGTGTGTGTGTTTTATCATGAAACGTTTAAGGAATCAATAATGTCAAATAGGTGTTTTCTTTTGGGTTGACACTGTACACTTTTTGAACATCAGTGAACTTGGTGTGTTCTTGTTGAACATCAGTGAACATGGTGTGTTCTTGTTGAACATCAGTGAACTTGGTGAGTTCTTGTTGAACATCAGTGAACATGGTGCGTTCTTGTTGAACATCAGTGAACATAGTGTGTTCTTGTTGAACATCAGTGAACTTGGTGTGTTCTTGTTGAACATCAGTGAACTTGGTGAGTTCTTGTTGAACATCAGTGAACATGGTGCGTTCTTGTTGAACATCAGTGAACATAGTGTGTTCTTGTTGAACATCAGTGAACATGGTGTGTTCCTGTTGAACACTTGGTGTGTTCTTCCAGATGAGTATAAAATTATTGACCAGGAGACCTTTAACCGACTGGGTGCCTCTCCTCACACCTACAGTAACTCGGGATAAATTAACCATTTTTCTTCCCAGCTCGGATGAAATAAAAAATGTTTACTCGAATGTTAACCTGTAATATAACTCAAGGTTTTTAATCTACAACATTAATCGTAAAAATGCATATTTAAAATGCTCTCCAATGTTTACTAATTAATTACTTCCAGAATAACACGAATAAGGCAAAAATCACCTCGGAAATCCATAATTGGCGAGTAATTAGCAGTGGAAAATGTATTTAAAATTATCCCAGCTGAAACAGTAAGACTTAGTGAGAATAACACCTACCAGACCCCTTTCTCTCTGATCTGAAATTTAATGTATTGAACTAATTAATATTCAGGGTGATTCAGCAAAGAGTACATTAAATTGGAGGATGAAATCCTTAGATAATTCTAAACCACAATGTCTCTATGGTAAAATGTCAGAGTCTGCATATGTTCAAGTGTTCGTGACAGGTGCGAGCAAATTAAACATAGTCCAGGCATTCTGGAACGCGTCAGACAATCAATGGTACGACGTGTACAGGCCTGCATTGAGGCAGAAGGGGACAACTTTGAACATTTTCTTTAGGTTGTAACAAAGAGGAGTCACACTGTAGAGGTCTGTGAATAAATGATTACAAAAAATCACTTTCATTAATACAACATCGTAAATATTTATTTTACCATAGAAACATTGTGGTTTGGAATTATCCATGGATTTCATCCTCCAATTTACAGTAATATACTCTTTGCTGAATCACCCTGTATAAACAAAAGCTTAATACATCTTGGTGCTAAAATTTATATGAGATAAAACAATAGTGAGTGAAGTTCCCCCAGTCGGCAGAACAGTATCCCACATAATTATCTGTAATATATGGTTGTCCAGTTTGTATAGGTGAGTGTGTGGAAACTTAATGGTTTCTAAATTTCGACAAACTGAATGATGATAATAATAATACTATTTCACTACGTAATGAAAAACAAACTGTCAAGATTGCATGTGATAACTATTCTTTATTAAACTGTATAAGTAGTGACACTAAAACATTTAATATTTGTTTCTTTATGAAAATAAGGAGCAACCCGAATATTACTTAATAAATCTGTAAGTATTTATGTTTGCAAAGTACTGTACCTTGTTTGGGTAGAATTATTATTAAACAATATCATTAAAGAAGAAATAAAACTCCAATTGGTTTGTCTTTCCCTTCAGACAATAAAGAATCAAACAGAAACACACTTCAGACCTTTGTACATGTGGATGATAACTATAGGTACAATATTGGAATTTGTACAGGAATTCTGAGTAACTGATCATTTAATATAACTTGTGTTGTTGTACATGCTGGGTTAAACTAATTATGTACTTCCAGAATAAAACACAAACCTGACTGATGGAGGTCCCATTAGTATGAGGGACACTTTGAACAAGTGTGACGTAAGTTAGTCATCAATTTTGATCCACTTTCGTTTGAATTTGTAAATGTAAACAGCAAAACGCACCTTTCACGAATTAAGTTTAAGGTGATTGACTTTCGTGGTTTGTCTGTTGTTTGTCTAAAATATTAAACCACACAATATACCAGACAGATGTGTAGATACTGTTGGTAGCCTTGTTTGGTCGTGGTCTGGGCTGTTCGTCCTGAGATAACACACGTCTTCGAAAGCGCTGACTTTCGTAATAAGATAATAATTTTAAATGTGTTCTATCGTTATTTTTTTATGTTTAATACTGTTTTATCTTATTTCCATTTACTTCCCGTTTGTTTGT